TGCCTGCCTTGCAAGCACAAGGTCCTGAGTTTGATCCTCAGTACAAAAAATAATAATAAAATTAAAAAAAATTTTTTTAAACATAAGGGGACAGGAATATATAGCTCAGTGGTACAGCACTTGTTTAGCACATGTGGGGCTCTGGGTTCAATCCTCGGCACTGGAAAAAAAAAAGATTTAGAAATAGCATTTAACTTTTTTAAAATTAATTTTATTGGTACATTTAAGATATACAATATAATGTCATTCATCATTGGAAACTTGAACATTTACATAATCCATCTTGGTTCTTATTTTTTCCCCATTTCCCTCTCCTCCCTTCAACCCTTCCACCCCTCCCTATCTACAAAGACTGTTTCCATTATTTTTTTCATATTTATTCCTTTCCCCTACCCCTCCTACTTCTCCTTTCCCTTTGCACCTTTTCTATTTTACATTATCTATTATATCTTTTAGTCTTTATTCATACCTTGTTTCTCAAACTAGAGAAACTATTTGGTATTTACACATATATGTCCTATTTATTTCACTTAGGAGCACCCATTTTTTATATAAAATGGAGTACTACTCAGCCATAAAGAATGAAAAACTGAAACATTTACAGCTAAATGAAAGCTTTTAACTTTTTTTTTTTTTTTTTGGTACTGGGGATCAAACTCTGGACCTTACGCCTGTGAGGCAGGAGGTGGAACCACTGAGCCAAATCCCTGGCCGATCTAATTTTTATATAGCTATCAAAATATAGGCCTACCCCCAAAAGCAAATGTATATAACCTAGTATAATACACATATAAAAAGTTATACTTTTTTTTTTTTTTGAGACAAGGTCTCGCTTTGTATTTCACGTTGGCCCTGAACTCACTATGTAGCCCAGGCTGGCCTCACTCACAGAGATCCTCCTGCCTCTGCCTCCTGAGTGCTGGGATTACAGGTGTGTGCCACCATGCCCGGCTCCCCACTGATATTGATTCAGTCGTCTGAGGTAGAATATAGGAATAGGCATTTTTTTTTTTTTTTTGTACCAGGGATCAAACTCAGGACTTTGTGCTTGCAAGGCAGGAGCAATGTCACTGATCTAAATCCTGGCCTGGAACAGGAATTTCTAACAAGATCCCTAGGTAGCTCTGATAGAGGTACCCTATATTTTAAGGCATGGAGTTAATTCCATCCAGTTTCCTTAGACTAGAGTTCAAACTCCTTAAATGTCTCCCAATGCCTTTTTTTTTTTTTTTAAGGTGTTGGGGATGGAACCCAAGACCTTGTGCATGCTAAGCAAGCTCTCTGAACTACTTCCCCAGCCCTCTTAGGCTTAAACTATACTGTATTTCACCCACATTTTAAAATGTAAGTATAGCTATATTATGCTTTGTGTTTCCCTGTTAATCCTACCACATCTATCTTTCCATTGAGCCAACCGAATATAACACACACACTCACTCCTCTTTCTTGCTAATGCTTATTTGGCATTCAGTTCAGAAATCAATTCATCTAGGAAGATTTCCTTAATTCCTAAGACTAGGCTAAGTATCTCTTCTAAGGGTTATCACAGCCTTTTATATTTGCCTTATCACAGCACTTTCTCAAAAATTCTACCAATTTGTTTAAATTTTCATCCCACTGAGTCACTGTCTTGTTTTCCAGTGATTCCTTAATGCTCAGCACTGTACCTGGCATATTGTGTGCCCTCAATAAATATTTATTGAACATAAAAATGAGTGGATTATACCAATGGATTATACTTAGAAGTATGAAGGGCAGGAGGATAAAAATTTTGTATTTATGCTATGGAAAATATGTATCCCAGTGAACATGCACTACTAGGGGCTATAGAAAAATAACTGCAGCAAACAAACTAGGAAGAAAACAAGGAAAGGACATAAATGATTCAAGACAAAGAAATCCAAGTGGCCAATAAGATCAAAAGATGTTTATTCTATCATCCAGAGAAATCCAATTTAAGGTTATCATTCCACATATATCAAACAGGCAAAATTTTCTTTCTATATCATTCAAACAGGCATTTAGGCAAAGATGTAGCAAAATCTCACTGTGTTCCTAGAGGAGAATTTGTCAGTATTCACCTCTAACCACATACCTAGAACTGTAGCATACAAGCACAAAGACGTCTTTTTATTTCTGAGGACTGAACCTAGAGCAGTGATGATGAACCTACAGCATGCCTGTTATTTGCTTTGCTTTTTTTTTTTTTTTTTGGTACCAGGCATCGAACTCTGGACCTTGACCTTGGGAGGCAGGCAGCAGCATCACTGAGCTAAATCCCTGGCTGTATTTGCTTTTCATTTGAGACAAAATATGTTAATGTATGAGTTGTTTTTTTCCAAACTAAAACCTCAGTATTCAAGTTTAATTGCAGTGTTGGCACTTTGCAATAAATAAGTAGGTTTTAGGTTGCATTTGGGGCACTTGTCTCTAAAAGGTTCACCATCACTGCCCTAGCAACTTCACATTTAACTTTATCCCCATCCCTTTTATATTTTGAGATAAGGCCTTACTAAGTCACTGAGTTGCCCAGGCTGGGCTCAAAGTTGCAATTGTCTTCTGCTTCAATCTCCTACAGTGTTGGAATTACAGGCCTGTACCACCATGTCTGGATGGATGTCCTGTTAATAGTATTTCTTTCTTTCTTTCTTTTTGTTTTTATTTTTTGAGACAGTGTCTCACTATGTAGTTGAGACTGACCTGGAATTCAGTATGTAGCCCAGGCTGGTCTTGAACTCACAGTGATCCTCCTGCCTCGGCCTCCCAAGTGCAGGGATTACAGGCATGTTACCACAAGTGGCAATAGTATTTCTAATAAAGAAAAAATGGGAATAGAAATACTTTACAAGGGGGCCAGGGATTTAGCTTAGTGGTTCTGGCACCTGCCTCACAAGTGCAAGGACCTGAGTTTGATCCCTGTACCACAAAAAAAAAAAAAAAAAAAATTTAAAAAAAAAAAAAAAAAAAAAAAAAAGAAAGAAAGAAAGAAATGCTTTATAAGCATGCCTCATAATCCCAACCTCTGGGAGCCTGAGGCAGGAGGATCACAAGTTAAAGCCTAGCTGGGCAATTTAGCAAGACCCTGTCTCAAAAAGTAAGAGAGGGATGTAGCTCAGCATGAAAGCCCTGGGACCAATTCTTAGTATCAAAAAAACAGCCAAGGATTTAGCTCAGTGGTGCCACCGCCTGCCTCACAAGTGCAAAGTCCTGAGTTCAATCCCTGCACCCGTGCAAAAAAAAAACACCCCCCAAAACAAAACAAAAAACAGAAACAATGACAAAACAAAACCTTAAAAGTATTTACAAATAATTAAAACAAAACCTTAAAGGTATTTACAAATAATTAGGTCAATATATATGGATTGTTCCCTAGAGTAAAGAAATAACATCAATAGTGCTGATGTAAAGAAACTCAGGAGAAAACCAAATAGCGACAATATAGGAGATTCTTAAATGACAGCAACGTATCCAAGTATAAAAGGCACAAAAAGAGCCTGAAGCATGGTGAGAAAAGATTTAAGAAATAAATCTGATAGGGTATCTGACATATCTGTTTGTTTGTGTTTGGTACTGGGGACTGAACTCAGGACCTTGTGCTTGAGGCAGGTGTTCGCACCACTGAGCTATATCCCCAGCCCATTTGATATATCTGAATATTTTTTTTTCTTTTGGTACCGGGGATTGAACTCAGGTCCTTGTGCTTGAGAGGCAGGTGGCAGAACCACTGAGCTAAATCCCCAGCACCCATATCTGAGTATTTTGAGAGATTTAGTCCAGAATCAGATATTTAAGATTCAGTTAGTAATAAGTAGATAGACATTAAACCCAAAGCCAAAAGGTAATTTCAGGGAATATAAAAAAATAAAAATAAAAAATAAAATAAAGTACTACTATGGTACTATATTGTTCAGCTAAATAATATTTACAGATTTAGAATAATATACCAATTATTGACCTAACTAAATTTACACTATGTCTATGTTTGGAGGATGAGGGTAAGTTAGCTTGTGTAGTAGTGCTATTGAACGGTGTGCTGGCCAGCAGTCCTTTCTGGGATCTTGCTGTCCTGCTCAAATAATTTAAAATAATGTTTATTTAAGGTTAAAAAAAAAAGTAACCAAGCATGGTGGCACCCATTTATAATGCCAGCACTCAGGAGGCTAAGGCAGGAGGATTGCTTCCAGGTCAAGGCCAGCCTGAACTACATACTGAGACTCTGTCTCAAAAAAAAAAAAGAAAAAAGAAGGAAAAGAGGTATGTAGGAAAAAGTGCTCTGAAGAGATAATGCACCCTACAATAAAAGGGCGGTGGTGGCAAAGTGAATGACCAGCAACTGTCTTTTATATCTTATTTTGATGTCAGATCTGGGCTGTCAGAAGCTGTTCTGTGCATGCATCCCAGCTGTAATTTGATAGCTCTCTGTGACTGACAGGTCATGTCCAACTGTCTAGCCTCTTTACTGTGCCCTAATCTCCTGCCTCAGTAGAAGTGTGTATTATCGGAAAAGTGAAAGCAAGCAGACACCTTATTTTTCTTAATAGTAATTCAACAATAAAAATGAAAAATTAAGGAATAACATGCCATTTTGGTAGAGTATATATAAATTTTATATAAAGAATTTCATTATAATGAACACATTGAATCAAATCCTCAATCTATAAGAGGTAGACATAAAGCATATAGTTCACATCTTTATGGTAAATTAACAAGTAATATTTTATACTTAGTAAAGGAAAATGGAAAGAAATCTAAAACAACATTTCCATTCCTTGCCTCCAAATACTTAACTACCATATTTTTGTTGTGTTTTGGTAAGAGACTTAGAAATTCAGATTTTGGTATGTATGGAAAGGGAAATGTCTTGGAAGTGAATAGTATTATTTGGTTGACTTGATTTCTTCAACTATAGGAAGCAAGGAGAAGAAAATATAGACAGATCTTGCTCTTAATTTTATAATTTTCTAAGGAAAATAATATTTACATAACAAAAAAGATATGTGGTGCTCCCTTCGGCCGCACATATACTAAAGTTGGAATTATATGGAGAAGATTAGCATGGCCCCTGTACAAGGATGACATCGAAATTTGTGAAGTGCTCTATATTTTTAAAAAAGAAAACAATGGGACCAGGATTTAGCTCAGTGGCACCACACCTGCCTCACAAGCGAAATGAGTTTGAACCGGGGTACCAGGAAAAAAAAAAAAAAAAAAGATCTGATTTATAAGCTATAAACTAAAATGAAAAGAATGTTTGTCAGTAAACAGACTAGATCCAGGTAATTTGAGATTGCCTACTGTTAAACTAAAATTATGGGAGGCCATTATGATTTTCCACTAAAACTACTGCAGTGACTGCAACAAACCTCATCAAACCAAAATGACTAAAACTGGAGTCACTGAGACTAAATGTCACATATTCAAACTGAACTATTAAGAAAATAGATTTCAAAACATCAGTTTTTCCTGAAAACAGGAGATTTCAGTCTACCTGAGTCAGCATAAGGAAGTTCCCTCTACTTTAAACCTTAGCAAATAAATAACCTGAAGCAATCTACTATTTTTTTTTCGAGGGATCGAACTCGGGTCCCTGCGCTTGCAATCTACTATTAATAAATCAGTTGTTTTTCTATTATTCCATAGCCTTATTCTCACTTTACAAAGCTTAGTCCTCAGCTGAATGTAGTGGTGCACACCTGTGATCTCAGAACTCGGGAGGCTGAAGCAGGAGAACTGCTACAAGTTTGAGGCCAGCCTGGGCTGCATCGTAAGTATAAGGCCAGCCTGAAATACATAGTAAGATCCTCATCAAAGAAAAACAACCTGAAACAAAAAGAGAACAATAAAACCCAGTCCTGCACTTATGCAATGGGAATATTTATTTTATTTGATAGACTGAAGGCTGCCCCAATACACAAATCACAAATAAAAGTCAATTTAATTAAATTTGATGTACTTTTGAACTTTGACATCACTGTAGATAATTTTCTGTACGTGTGTGTGCGTGTGTGTGTGTGTGTGTGTGTGGTATTGGGGATTGAACCCAAGGCCTTGCACACGCTCAGCAATCACACTAATACTGAGACTGTAGATAATTTTTGAAAGACTTTTCTTTGGATTTATCCCTAAGGACATATATGTGAGTGATTTTATTTTACCAAATGCTTAATAGATTGCACCTTTACATACTAAATGGAGAGGGAAGAACAACCATTTATACTACGGTTTGTCAGATGAATAAGAAATGCCATTTGTGGAATTCCTGGAAGCCACTTAATGAGGAATGAATCTGTAATTCTCATTAGGAAACTATAGTTGATGGGGATTAAATCAAGGACCTCAAGTATGCTAGCCAAGTGCTCTTACCACTGAATTATGCCCTCAATGGCTTAAAATTAACATTTGTCATTTCTATAGTTGGTAATACCACATATTTTATATACATATCCTTTTTTCCTTTTGTGGTGCTAGGGATTGAACCCATGGCTTTGAACATGCTAGACAAGTATTCTACCACTCAGCCACATCCCCAGTCCTGTACCCATTTTTTTGGTGGGGAGGGGTTTGAGACAGGATCTTACATGTAGTTGAGACTGACATGGAACTCACTATGTAGTCTAGGCTGGTCTTGAACTCACAGCGAACATCCTCCTGCCTCAGCCTCCCAAGTGCTGGGATTACAGGTGTGTGTCACCATGCCAGACTCTGTATACATTTTCTTATTTGAGTTTCACATCATTTCTAAATATACTACTTACTGGCCGGGCATGGTGGTGCACACCTATAATCCCAGCACTTGGGAGGCTGAGGCAGGAAGATCGTTGTGGATTCGAGACCAGCCTGGGCTACAAAGTGAGTTCTAGGTCAGTCTCAACTACATAGTGAGACCCTGTCTCAAAAAAAAAAAAAAAAAAAAAACCCAAAATAAACAAACATACTACTTACTGAGTTACTGACAAACAACTGGCTCTCCAGGAAGACAATGTGTATATATCTATACATACATGTACATACATTGATCTGCAAAAATTTTATTAGTACAAAGCATGTATAAACTAGATGTGGTGGCACATGGCCATAGTCTCAGAAGTCTTGAAAGGCTGAGGCAGGAGGATTGCAAGTTCAAACCCAGCCAGGGCAACTCAGTGACTTAGTAAGACCCAGTCTCAAAATAAAAAATAAAAACAGGGCTGGTGATATAGTTTAGTGTGAAGGCCCAGTACCCCAGTACCAAACAAACAACTAAAGTACCCCCCAAAAGCATGTATATATGTAGCATTCAACTTAGAAATTATAAATATTAAATATTCTTCTTGTGAAGTCAACAATTTCAGTCAGCTGATTCTGTTTTCAGTGATTTTCTGAACTCTTACATGTATAGTCAACTTATGATTCCAATTCAACCGTGAAGATTTGACAAGTGTTAAATCTTTTCAGAATATTTGCCATCTAATATGTGATCTGAAATTAAACTACTATTCTCATGTAAGTTCTCATCCTCTTACAAATTCATTAAAATGAAATCTGTTTGAGCTTTTAGCACTGACTGAAGTAATGCTCTTTTAGCTTTCTGTGTAGTGATTATAACATTGATTCTAGCTGGGTATGGTGGCACACACCTGTAATCCCAGCACTTGGGAGGCTGAGGCAGGAGGATCGCTGTGAGTTCGAGACCAGACTGGGCTACATAGTGAGTTCCAGGTCAGTTTCAGCTACATAGTGAGACCCTGTCTCAAAACAACAACAACAACAACAACAAAAATTGATTCTACATAATCTATAAAACTTGAAGATCATTCAAATTAATTTTATATTTTTAAATTTCATTTTTAAGTGTTACAGTTTTATCCCCACCACTTATTCATGGTGCAGTTCTTTATAAGGCCATAGAGATAGTTCTTTAAAAATCAAAGTAATTAAGGGCCAGGGATTTAGTTCAGTGGTACCGCTGCTGCCTACCAAGCACAAGGTCCCAAGTTTGATCCCCGGTACCAAAAAATAAAAATCAAAGTAATTAAAATGCTGTTTCTGAATGGGTATAACTCTGTAATCACATAGCACTTACAAGGACCTGAGTTTGAGCCCCAGCACCACACACACACACACACACACACAGGCTATTTCTAGTAGGACATAAATTCATTATTTTTCAGTGATATGTTTCTAAGCAGAGCTTTACATTTATTTTTATTAAATATAATGTCCCTAAACTTACAACTTGACCAAATCTCCAACTTGAGAACCATTGGACTTTTTGGTTGCTGAGAACCGAAAAGTAGATTCATGCTTTCTAATATTAATCTTTAATTTCCCCAATGCTTTTGTGGTACATTTAATTAATTTTCTACTTTCTACATATCAGTTGATCGTAACTGCAATTGAACAGAAAGTAATGAAAATTCCTGAATAGTATTAATCATTGAAGCAAGATCTTGGAAAAAATTAATGTTAGCTAATCTGTTTGCCAGACTAAAACAAAAATAGGCAAAGTGAGGCTGGGGATTTAGCTCAGTGGTTCCATGGCCTGCCTTGCAAGTGCAAGGTCCTGAGTTCAATCCCTGGTATCAAAAGAAAAAAGAAAAATTTATGTGTAATGCAGGATACATGTGCCATACAGCAATGGCAGTTCATAAATTATAACTCACTAATCTCAACCCCATACTTGTCTAATTTTAATCATTTCAATAGAGTGGGCTGGGGATTTAGCCCAGTGGTTCCAGCACCTGCCTTGCAAGCCTAAGGTCCTGAGTTTGATCCCCAGTACCAAAAGAAAAAAACCCTTTATATTTCAATCTATAGAGTATTGAACACAATAAATTTTGAGTACTTTCGTTTTTAACATAATTTAACTAGTCATAAGCTTTATTTCATATTTTATAACAAAGTCTTGCTAAGTCACTAACTTGCCCAGGTTGAGTTTGAACCTGGAGTGCTGGGATTACAGGCATACACCACCACTCCTGAATTAAAATTTGACTTTAATAATGGTTGTGCTTTACAACTGGCTTATAAAATCCCTGAAAATTCAGTAACTAACTTTACAAACATAGAACCCAGCTGCCATGTACTAAGAGCTCCATTTTCAAAAGGAAGCTTTAGCATAGCAATTAATTTGCCAATTTAGTAATAGGCTGAGTCCAGATCCCACTTTAGATTTTAAAAAAATTCTGATGACTATTAAATTTCTTATTCCTCTTACTGAATGGAGACTAAGGGCCCTTGTTGGCTTGATTAAAAAACATTTTTTTTTTTAAGAGACACATTAGGAAATGTATTTTCTGATGTTTGAGCTGGGGATGTAACTCAGTGGTAAAAGACTTGCCTAGCAAGTACCAGACCTCGGGTTTGATACACAGGACTGCTAGATAGATCCTCCTATATTACTTGCCAGTTTTGCTAGATGATACTGTTAAATCAACAGCGGGGGCCAGGGATTTAGCTCAGTGGTTCCACCACCTGCCTTGCAAGCACAAGGCACCGAGTTCAGTCTCCAGTATCAAAATAAATAAACAAAAAACAACAGGCTATTAGCCCAGGGTTATTTCTGTACCAAGAAAACCCTCATAACTAATCAATTTTATATTGATCTTCAATCATTCACTCAAAATTACGTAACTAGGGACTTCTCATGATACCCAAATAAAGCAAACCCTATCTGTAGCTAATCAATTTATTTACTTCCTTGTTTAGCCTACAAAGCTTGCTAAGCTGCTGGCACAGAGGCTCTTAAAACTTCTGGTTTTGACTGCTATTCAGGAACTTTTTAATGTTTAAACTGTTGATTTTGCCTAGCTTTTATTTTAACCATGACTATCTAAAAATAAATAAAATAAAATAAAATCAGGGGCCGGGGATTTAGCTCAGTGGTTCTGCCGCCTGCCTCACAAGCGCAAGTTCCTAAGTTCGATTCCCCGCTACCAAAAATAAATACATAAATAAAGAAAAATCAGCCTTGGTTGGAAATTTGATGGAAGAGGGGACCAACTGGCTGGCCTATTCATCTACTTGGAATGGTTGGAAATTGCTCTTCTGAGTTTCAATAGGAGTGTAAATACAGTACAAGTGTTTAACACCAGCAGTCCCTTCCAATACTTACCAAGCTTCATGAAT